TAATTTAGTGTAGGCCAGTATGTGGAATGACAGTAGAGTACATAAACCAAACACACATATGTATTTAGAAAAATACAGATGTTAAAACAGTAAAATATGGAGGGGGAAAGGAAAATGAAATAATAAAAAAGGAAAAGAAAAAAAAGCATATACAACACTTCTATATTATATTATTCAGATGACTCTGTCCTCAAAGTCCTGTTTTATGCAAAGTTCTTGGTTTCACATATATTTGGGATGTGAGAGCTGGAGGATGGAGCAGTAGAAGAGAAAAAACAAACAAACAAAAAACTTGAAGAAGAAACCAGGGTTGTGGTTAGTTTAAAGATCAGAATCTTTCCTGCATCTCTTCTCATCCAGTAGGTAGAGTCTTCTGTTGTAAGCTGGTGTCTCTGCCCTCAGATGGTGGAGGTAACCAGGGTGTGAAGACTGGTCCTGGCTCAGGGCATCTGGATGAGGGGAGTGGCACCTACAGTCCTTGCAGAAACACTGCACCTCATAGGTCTCTTTTTGGGACCACTTGCTCATATGACTTGAGCCCCCGGTAATATCTCCCTCTCTTACCTGGAGATTTTCCAGTTCCTATTCTCTCCCTCTCCCCTAGCAGTTGCCAACTGAGGAAACTCTCAAACCCTGGCTCCCATGGGCAGCTCCCTGGTTGCACTGGACACCTCTGTTGGGCAGCTACCATGTTGGGTTACTGCCACTGTGGAGGGGGAAAGGTTGGAAACCTAGTACCTGGCTACTGGAGCTGGAGATTCCATCTGGGAACTGCCCCCAGCTAAATGGAGAGAATGTTAAGTCAAGATGGCGGTGGTCTGCTTTCAGTGCTGGGGTGTCTGGTAAGGTGGGGGGAGCCCGGGAGATGGTGGTGTGCTGTGGGTAGGTAGCAGCTGAGTGACTTGCGTGGGAGTGGATTGAAGTCTTGGCGATCTGCAGATGTGTTGATAGGTGATTCTGCTAAGGTGCTCGCTGGCTGCGTCTTGCATGGGCTAGAACTTCAGGCTTTGGGTCCTGCTCCAATGTCGGGCATCCTACTCCAACACTGAGGTCTGGAGCCCTGCATGGGGTCACAGGGCTGGTGATGTCTGAGGAGAGCAGCTGGATAGGGGACTTCTAACACTGTCTGAGATGCTGTATTCCCACAAGAGGAGATCTGCAGGTGCAGTGGTCAGGGGCATGGCGCCGCTCACTCCCTTCTGGCCGCCATGTTTTGTATATTTAGTTCTTAAGTGAGTTTAATTCCATTAAGTTTGCAAGAAAAAACAGTCCTTAAATATGCGTGTGTATTTAAATTGTTTTTTATTTATTTTTAAAGATTATTAAGTTTCAATCCCACCTATAAAAGTAACAAAGTTTATTTTTAAAGAAAATTATTCCACAGACTTAATTTAACATCCCAATTGTCAACAATTAATCATAGGTCTGTTCTTAAAAATACTATTTTCATAGTTTTTAAAAATTGTCAAAAAACTTATCTTAAATATCAGGTAGTTAAAAAACAGTGTTAATTATAACAATATCACTAGGATTCAATACGAAGCTAATATGAACCAAACTCTAAAACTTTAAGCTGTATGTTCTGTTTGCTTCTAATTTAAGAAAGAAATATATGCTAATATCAAAGAAAGCTATGACACTACCAACAGACACATATTCAGGAAAGTGATAATAGTTTATCTGCGATCATTTTATATTTATATTAACTAATTATACTTTATGTATTTTTTCAATCATTCTCTATAATGATATTTCAAGACATATCCTTGGTAATTCTCAATGTAAAAAAAAAAAGTTCAAATTTTGTATTTGTGACTAAAAGAGATAATTTCAATTACTTCTAGAGCTATAAATTGTATAGGTGTTAAACCATAAAAAAGCAGATTTTTCAACAATGGTTTGTCTTTGTAGAGTAATTAAATGTAAACTACTACTAGAAGAGCATATTTTTAAAAAAAAAACTTATAATCCTTAATTTATTATATCTATATGAATGATACAAAGTAATACATTATGTTTTCTGAAACCATACCCATTTATCATGACATTGCAGAATAATTTGAGCTATTTTTTTATTTTTAAACAGCCATTGAATATAGTGTACTGATATGTTTTATTTCCCAAGCTACTTGGACATGGTGTGTGGTTTTTACATCAATCCAGAGTAACCAGAAGTTATTTTCCATGAGAAACAATAACAAATGTAATTGACAAATGGTGTTTGCTAGTGGAAACAACATTGCATTATTTTCTAATAATGAGGCAGCTAGCATATAACTACTGATCAAAGTCTACAAATTAAAAAACAAAGTAGCAGAGTACGTTTGTTTTAACTAAAGCTGGATAATTCTCAGGCCATGAGAAAAACTCCAATTCACTTGTAATAAGCCCCAAAATGGTGGAGCTCTATTTAAGTCTGATACATTCTGTAGAAAGGTCAGGCAGGCAGCCAAAGCCAATTATTTTCCTATAGTTGGGCCCACACTGATTTTTATACTTGAGTTCCTTAGTGGGTGGACTACAGAATTTGTTTTCATCTGAGACTTACCTATAGTAGAGTAGATAGAAAAGGGACACTGCCAAACCAAAGTGTCCATGAATAATTGCTAAAAATGGAGAAATGGAAGTGACTTCCTTCCCAAAAGGACCCATTAGAAATCATAAAAACAAAGATTTGTATAACTAAAATGTGGATTTTTTGGAAAATAGAAAGTGTTATATGTCATCTTGGGATAAGTTATTTTTCTATTAGTTTGTGTGAAATTCTTCTCCATAGTCATAAAATGTGTGTTGAGCTATGCCTCTAAACCTGTAAAGGATGTCAGCTGTTGAAATGGGAGAGAATGATGAATTTGGTTCCATAAATATTCACATTTATGTTTAAAATTAAGCAAAATTTCTATTAAAGTATGTCAATATCTGACCCTATAACTTGGGTTAAAATTTCTCATCATCATTGTAATTCAACCAAATGTTCTATTTGGTTAAACCATAATTGAGAAAATTAACGCAGAATTGTGGACAAAAACAAAACAAAACATAATAGAACTACGTAAGTCACCCAATCTCCCAACCTGTCGCCATGGGCAAAACGTGTGACTTAAACAGTTCAGGGGGAGAAATAAAAATTGACCATGAATTTCTGCACTTTACAATGCTTTAGTCACTCAAATCACTCAATACAACTTCACTCTATAGGTTCTTAATCAAGAAAATGACAATTCTTAATGTTAGGCACTGAAATAGACATAATCAATTCACAGCAAACCATTCTAGATAAATTAATCCAAGGCAAACCATTCTAGATTAATTAATTCACAGCAAACAATTCTAGATTAATTAACTCTAAGCACTGCAAACACACTTAATCATGACAGGCTCATAACAGACATTCCCTCTGCATACTAAGTTCAAGTGTCAGATCAAAAGTCTCAAGCCTTGGGGTTTAAGTTCAGGAGATGCACACACACTGAGACTGTGATGATCAGATCTGGAACCAATGTAGGCTTCTCCTGGGGTGGAGTTGATGGGTGGTCAGTTGAGGAGGGGCTCTCATAGGGAGAAGTTGTGGCTCTCACCAGGGTCAAGATGTGGCTGTAGAGTTTGAGAGCAGTGAGGACCATGTAGAGGATAAGGCAAAAAATGACAAGTGATGGTATGTCAGTCCAGGTCTTCTTAGGCTCTCCAGCTTGTGTGCATCAGTGGCTGGCTGAATGTCTGTTCATTTGCTTCATAATTTATACTAAATTAACTGGGTGATGATTGTAAGCAGGTAGTGTGTGGCCAGTTAAACTAGGTTACTGGGGGCATGATTTTACATTTATATTTTTTCCCTGATGAGCAGAGTTATCTCTCTGCTTCCTTGTTACCATGTCCTGAGCTGCTTTTCTCTGCCACAAACTTCTCTCATGGCGTTCTGCCTCACCTTAGACCCAGAGCTATGCTGTGGCATCACCTGTCTAGGAACTGAGACTTTTGTAACCATGAAATGAAATCAACTTTTCTTCTTTTAGGTTATTCTTGTCAGGTATTTTGGCCACAGCAACAACAATAACGAAAATAACCCCCCCCCAACCAACAGACTAAAATAGAAATAGGTACCTAGAAATAGGATCTTTATGAAGACCAAAATGGCTGTGTGATTCAGAAGACTAAACTGGTTTGCAGACAGTAAAGACAGAGCACATAAATTTTCAGAGGAAGAATGGTACTCTTTTGGAAATAACACTAGAGGCCATTCATGTTATGCTCCGGCAATGAAATTGGCTATATTTTGTCATGTTCTGAGACTTTCTCTGATAATTAATTTCGAGGTGATAAATTAATCAGACAATGGAAATTTTAGGGCATCATATCCTTCGGGGTGGCATGGTTATTGCTAGCAACTTAGCCAAGTTTATCATGATAATCAGGAGCAAAAAGCAGAGCATAAAGACCTGAAAAACCTGCAGTTTGGCCTTAAAACTGAGAGTAAAATTAAATCTAAAGACGTTATGATTGTCAAAGAGATTATAGCTACTTAAGAAATGCAAAGTACTGTGTCCTAAAACAATAAGAAGGATATCTTGAGGGCTTCCTGGGATTGGAAAGTTCACACCTATCTTAGATTAAATGGTTTAAAAGCAAAAATTCCTTTGAAACTATGGAGGCACTGTTTTTTACAAGGGAGTGGGAGTGTCTAGGAAGTTTTTCATCGGGTTCAGCAGTCCAGGCAGTCAGAAGCTGCTGCAACCATAGTACCAGAAAGCTTGGCTACTATTTGACAGGGTGGCAGACCTTGGTGTCAACCACATGGTGCTGATTCTGCAGGAATTCAGTGTGCTGGTGTTGGGATCATAGAAGTATTTAAATAGTTTCAAAGAAACTATTGGGTGGGACAGCTAAAGAATAGTACGGTCAACATTACTGCAGGTAGCCCCTAAGTGGACAATCTGTGAAGATATGAGAAGAAAACCAAAACTGCAAGTGGAGAAACCCCATTATTAAGAGATGCCAGTAACATGGGTCATCTGACAATGAGTGCTACAAGAATTGAGCAAAGACAATTTCAAGAAACAGGCCATGTGGGTGGTAACCAGCAAAGCCATATGGATATAGATACAGAGTCCTTTGGGGAGATTAGGATGCCCTGTTCCCCAGATGCTGGCTGTGGAGCTACAGGACTTGTTTCCCCAGTTGGATTTTGTTCTTCTTCCATCTCTTCTATCTATGACCCTATTTCTCACTTTTGGAATGAAAATATTTACTCTGTGACTTCATATATTCTATATATGCAACTTGTTTTTGATCTGTATAGGGGAAGACAATGAAGAGTTTGCCTTGAGTCTCAGAGACTTTGAATGTGAACTAGATTTGGGGCAGTGCTTGGAACTGTTCAAACTGTGGGGACTCTTAGACTAGATGTATTTTGCATTGTAAGATGAGCATGAGCTTTTGGGGGACAAGGGCAGAATGTTGTGGTTTTATTATGAGGTATACTCCTAAAACTCATTTGTGATACAATGCAAGAATATTCAGAAGTGAAATTATTAGATCATGAGAGCTATAAACTAAGCAGCAGCAGCAGGCTTACTCCACTCATGGATTCACAAGTGATAACTGTAGGTAAATAGAACATGGCTGACTTTGGGATTTATTTTGTCCCTTCTTAAAAAGGGTTTACAAGTGATCCAGCCATTTGAGCTTTTTGGAGTGTATGATCACCATTGGTGTCATACTTCAAATATTTGATAGCATTCAATACTCATGCCATCACCATCATGTTCCATCTTCTTTTTCACTAGAAGTTGTTTTTATTGTTTTTGCTGTTCTCCTTTTTCTTCTTCTTCTTCTTCTTCTTCTTCTTCTTCTTCTTATTATTATTATTATTATTATCATCATCATCATCATCATCATCAATTCAATTTCATGGTAGGTCTGTTTAGATTTTCTATTCATTATTTAGTTTTAGTATCTTGTAAGTTTCTAGATACTTGCACATTTCTTCTAGGGTATTCGATTTCTTTGCATCTGATCCATTTGGTTCCTGTGGTATCAGGTGAAATGATGTTTGTCTCCTCTTTCATTTTAGAGGTTATTATTTGATACTTCGTTCTTCTTACAGTAGGCTAAAGTTTGTGAATTTCATTTATTTTATTTAAAAAATAACTCAGTGTCATTGATCTTTAATTAATTTATTTTTTTGCCCCAATATTTATTATTATTTCTACATATTTTGTTTTTCACCTTAAATTGTTCTTCTTTTTCTGGTTCTTTGAGGTATAACATAAGTTATTTACTTGATAACTTTCTTTATTCTTAACTTCAGTATTTACTGCTGTATACTTTCCTTTTAGAACTGTTTTAGTGTATAACGTAAATTTTTATATGGTGTGTTTCTATTTTAATTTGTCAAAAGATAGCTGCCCAAACTTTTGTCTCCACTGTGAGAAGGAAGCCCTTCAAATATTTTCCCAGTGTGTCACATGACCTTGAAATATATAACTCAGGGATGGATACCTCTCAGAATCTTACTTCTGTATTGCAAAGTAGAACATGAGTATCAAGTCTCTCAATTCTTTCAGTGATTTTCTTGAGACTTGGATGAACAACTTATATTGATCTGAGATTTCTGTCCCTTCTTTTACCATTGTGACAAATTTTGACTCAGTCTTTGCAATAGAACCAGTCAGTATGTAATAAACACAATTTATATAACTTGATGTGAGCATACTCTGTCATACTGGATTCAGATAAATGGGAAAGTAGTACATGCTGGGCATAAACTGTAACCCTGAGTGAAATAGGCATAAATGCATGTGCTCATTTTTTTTCTGATGGTTGAAATAGAGATAATCTTTGCTATTCCATGTAATAAGAGTCTTCTCTTGGGATTGGTAACTAGCAAACCTGCTTTGCAAATTCTCTTCATTTAGTTCTTCTTTAATTCATTGTTTTTCAAGAATATGCTGTTTAATTTCCACTGATATTTTCCAATTTTATTCTTTTTATTGTTTTTTTTCTTCATTTATCTTACCATGCAGGTCAGCAATATTACTTTAATGTTTTCAATTTTCTTAAATTTTCTAAGTCTGGTTTTATAACCTAACATATAATCTATTTAGGAGTATTTGTTGCATATAAATTGAAAAAAAAATGTTGTTTTAATGTAATCTTCTGCATGTATTTGATAAACCAATTTTATCTATATTGTTATTCAGATTCAATATTTCTATATTGATTTTTCTTTCTAGATGATCCAGCCATAGTTGAGAGTTATTATTGAAGTACCCTACTACTATTATCTTGCTGCCCATTTCTTCCTTCAGTTCTGCTAATACATATTATATACATTTAGGAGAACTAGTGTTGGGTGCATTTACATTTACAATGGTTATGACTCCTTTACAAATTGACCCCTTTATCATTACTCCTCATGAGAATTTCTGACTCAGCTATTGTCTAATAAAAGATATGACTTCTTTCTTTTTGGTTTTCATTTGTGTTTCTTGACATTCTGCCTATAATTTACTTAAAGAAAGTATCCTGTAGGTAAAATACAGTCAGGTCATTTTGTTTAACCCATTCACACATAATGGCATGGCACTGGCATTAAGACAGATATATAGTTCAATGGAACAGAACAAGGAACCCAAAATGAATTTGGAGTCAATGAATCTCTGAAAAAGATGCCATAGGGGCAATGGGACAGAAAAAAAAAATCTCTTTTTAAATAATCATAATTAGGCATTGGCCCTCAATGGCCGCTGCCTCGCTGCGCCGCTGGGAAGGAGAGTGATATCGGAGGAGCAGTCAGGAGGCGGCCTGGTAGAAATGCCGCAGATGGCCTCCAGGGCCACGATCCAAAGGAACCAGAGCGATTGAGGAAGCTGTTTATTGGTGGTCTGAGCTTTGAAACTACAGATGATAGTTTAAGAGAACATTTTGAGAAATGGGGCACACTCACAGATTGTGTGGTAATGAGAGAACCCCAAACAAAACGTTCCAGGGACTTTGGTTTTGTGACTTACTCTTGTGTTGAACAGGTGGATGCAGCAATGTGTGCTTGGCCACACAAGGTTGATGGGCATGTAGTGGAACCGAAGAGAGCTGTTTCTAGAGAGGATTCTGTAAAGCCTGGTGCCCATCTAACAGTGAAGAAAATTTTTGTTGGTATTAAAGAAGATACAGAAGAATATAATTTGAGAGATTACTTTGAAAAATATGGCAAGATTGAAACCATAGAAGTTATGGAAGACAGGCAGAGTGGGAAAAAGTGAGGAATTCCTTGTGTAACTTTTGATGATCATGATACAGTTGACAAAATTGTTTTTCAGAAATACCACACTATTAATGTGCATAATTGTGAAGTGAAAAAGGCCCTTTCTAAACAAGAGATGCAGTCTGCTGGATCACAAAGAGGTTGTGGAGGTGGATCTGGCAACTTTATGGGTCATGGAGGAAACTTTGGAGGTGGTGGAGGTAACTTTGGCCGTGGTGGTGGAAACTTTGGTGGAAGAGGAGGCTATGGTGGTGGAGGTTGTGGCAGCAGAGGTAGTTACGGAGGAGGTAATAGTGGATATAATGGATTTGGAGGTGATGGTGGCAACTATGGTGGTGGTCCTGGGTATAGTAGTAGAGGAGATTGTGGTGGTGGTGGACCAGGATATGGAAACCAAGGTGGTGGATATGGTGGTGGAAGAGGATATGATGATTACAATGAAGGAGGAAATTTTGGTGGTGGTAACTATGGTGGTGGTGGGAACTATAATGATTTTGGAAATTACAGTGGACAACAGCAATCAAATTATGGACCCATGAAGGCAGGCAGTTTTGGTGGAAGAAGCTCTGGCAGTCCCTATGGTGGTGGTAATGGATCTGGTGGTGGAAGTGGTGGATATGGTAGCAGAAGGTTTTAAAAATAGCAGAAAAGGGCTAAGTTCTTAGCAGGAGAGAGAGCGAGGAGTTGTCAGGAAAGCTGCAGGTTACTTTGAGACAGTCATCCCAAATGCATTAGAGGAACTGTAAAAATCTGCCACAGAAGGAACGATGATCCATAGTCAGAAAAGTTACTGAAGCTTAAACAGGAAACCCTTCTTGTTCAGGACTGTCATAACCACAGTTTGCAAAAAGTGCAGCTATTGATTAATGCAATGTAGTGTCAATTAGATGTACATTCCTGAGGTCTTTTATCTGTTGTAGCTTTGTCTTTTTCTTTTCATTACATCAGGTATATTGCCCTGTAAATTGTGGTAGTGGTACCAGGAATAAAAAATTAAGAAATTTTTAACTTTTCAAAAAATTCGTATTTAAAAAAACTAATATCCATATGCAAAAGAATATAATTATACTAGCATATCATATATAAGAATCAGTCTAAAATTGATTAAAAACAAATATAGGACCTGAAACTAAAATTATTAGAAGATAACAGGGAAAAAAGCTTTATACTGGTATGGAAAATAACTTATTGGGTATAATTCCAGAAGCACAGGCAATAAAATAAGAAAATCTAAAAAGGATTATAAGAAATAAAATAAAATTCTGCAGATCCAATGAGAGCAATTAACAGATTGATAGATAGCCAGAGGAATGAGAAATGAAAAAAAAAATGCAAATAAAAGCACTGGCCAAAGAACCTGGACAGATATTTATAAATAAGTAAATAAAGCAAGTAGCCCAACAATATATGAAAAAAAAATTCAGAATCACTAATCATCTGGGAATCACAAATAAAAAACACAATGTGATATTCACATGGCTCCCCAGTTGCCAAGCCCTGCATCTGGCGTACTAGTACCATATGGTGGAATATGATGCAGTACAGTGGCAGCCTGGGTAGGTCAGAGCACACACTGGCAAGCAGGTCCTAAAACTACATGGAGCCTGCCATACAGGCCCAGAGAGCCAGCACACAGGCACACCTGCAGACCTGTGATCCTTTAGGGACAGGCCTAAAATGGATATGGAGCCCACTCCACGCATCCCAAGACCTCAACCTCCCATTTCCTGACCAGCCTTGAGAAAATGAAAGGGGGACAGATTTGAATGAAAGTTGAGACTCAAGATTTAACCAATAGTGTTAGTAAAGCTCCAAGCCCTAATTTTTGTAAATTTGTACCAATAGTAGTGAACCAAGTGCTATAAACCCCCTAAAATAGAATACTTAGAAGAAGAAAATCTGATATTGGGTCCCCTCTTGTATTTCAAGAGTTCTGTTTCTGTTCTTCAATATATCCAACCATTATACTCACTCTTTGAATTTTGTGGATTTCATTCTTTGAATTCACAAGACAAGAAACCAGAAAGAAGAAGAAATTGAAGATGAGCTGCTGGGTCTGCTGCTATACTGGAGGGCATGACCTACCATTAAGAGCAGCAACACTTATGAGCTACAGAGAACTGCAGATTGTGCAGCCCCGGCCTGGTTGCTGAAGCATAAATAGAGTTTCACCTCAAAATTCTAGTTTGAAGATCACTTTGTACCTGTTAAAATGGTCTCTAACAAAATGTACAAAAGATAGTAAGTATTATCAGGATATAAAGGAAAGATAATATTTGCCTACTGTGGTGGTGCACACCTCTAATCCAAGATACTTTGGAGTCTGAGGCAGGAGCATTACAAATTTGAGGCCAACGCAGGCAATTTAGCAAAACTCTGTTTCAAAATAAAAATTTTAGAGAAGACTGGAAATGTAGTTGAGTGGTAGAAAATGAAAAGGGATCACTTACACACTGTTGATGGCAATGAAAATTGGCACATACATCATGGAAAAAATGTGGAGATAGCTCAAAAATTTAAAAACTGTACTACCACAACAATTAGGAAATCCATCTACTGAGTATATATCCAAAGAAATTAAATTGGTATGTGGAGGGAGGGGATATCTACAATCCCATGTGTATTTTAGCATTATTCATGGAATCAAAGAAATTGTTCATCAATGAATAAAAGGATAAGAAAAATATGTTTTATATATACAATGTAATGTTATTCAGCCACAAAATAGAAGGAAATTTTGTCGTCTCAAATGAATGGCAGATACTAGGAAAAGTGAAATAAATCAGGAACAGAATTAAAAATACTGTATTATCTCGCTCATATGAGGATGATAAAAACGTTGATTCCAAGAAGCAAGGGATAAATCGGTTACCAGATGGAAATGCATTCACAGGGGTGAGAAGGATTGGAAGGATTTTAGTTAGGATATATAGTTGTAGTGAAATAGAAGGAATATGTTTAAGAGATCTATTCATCAACATAGTAACTACAGCTAATGATAATATATTATATTTCTGAAAAATGCAAATAAAGTGGATATATTAATTATTCTTAATAGAAAATAACAACTCTAAGAGATAATGCATATGCTATTTACCTAAATTGAGATTATTAATTCCATAATATATAAATGCTTCAAAACATCTTGCTTTATATTATACATTAATATAAATTTTTCCATGTAAAAACATAAATGTAAATATATATATGAAGAAATAAAAACCCAAGATCACTCACTATTTGAAATTTTCTGTGTTTAATTAAATCTGCAACAAAAACTATAATCATAAGGATTAATTATTTCCAGGATTAAACAGAATTTTGCCCAGTAGAGTGAAAATGAAGAAAAACAATTATCTGTAGAGTAGCTAGCTATTCTAAATAAAATAAGAAAGTAAAATGAAACAATTACTAAATCTACAGGATTAGAGGCACAGTTGAATGCATATGGTACAAAAAATATGACTTATTTGCTTCCTTCTGATAGAATTTCTTACATAGTAATGAAAGAAGTTACCTTCAATGGTCCTTTTTCAATCTATATGGGTCTTCTGTTGAGGAGGCATCAAAATTAAGTAAAGATTTTATACAATGATCATGTATAAATCAAAAGGATTATGAGTCTGGACAAATTGGGTCAGAATTTCTGTATTATATTTCTCTGAATCACATTTGCCTCTTGTCATCTTCCTCTCTAATTTCATCCTCTCCCTCAGCCCAACAAACCAAAGTATGTATTGAATTTGTGACTGGTGTTTTAGAAATATATCAGATTTGAAATTATGAGTATCAATTTCCTTTACTTTTTGTTAAATTCTTATAGCACTGTGGACAAAATTTCTGTACCTATGACTGCATATGTGAAAACCAATAAAAGTCATTTTAGAAGATAATTTTTTCTCCTTTAACATGTTATGAGAAGCATTTTCATAGTTCTAAGTTATATTAACTAGCCCAATATTTTCTTTAAATCTGTTTTTCTTGTAAAATATTCTGTTTTACAGTTTTCAAGGGAATTTAATAAAATTAATCTAGTCAAAGGTAAATGTCCCTTTTCAAAGATTAAACACCAATTTCTGTAACATATGGACTAATGATGAAAAATTAGAATGATGTGTCAGCTATTACCTTGATCCATTATGATACAAAGAAAAACCATGAGTTTGAAATTTATAGCTTTAAACTCCCCAGGAATATTTTAAAGTTCAACCCTGAGGCAATCAGCTGAGATGATACTATAAAGTTTTGCTTCTCAAGTTTCCAGTCTTTTATCTGCTGATTCCATTTTGAGTTCTGCTTCTTGCTAAGGATTAGAGAAGATGGTTATTTCCATGGTTGTCATTTGCAGAACCTTCCAGTAACTTAATGTTAAGTGCAAATTGTTATTATAAAGGACAAAGAACAATTGATTGGGAGAATTTAGGGGCAGAAGGAAAGGCTATTATTATTAGCATAGAGTGTGGTCAGAGGCTCATACTTTGATGATAGGAAGCAGTTTAAAAGAGGAATCACTATATCGGATTCAGCTATAGAATAAGAACCAATCTCATTCAGCGTCTGTCATATTCACACTTCTATTCATTCACATTGAAATTGAAAATTAGTGTCTTTAGAATTAAACATTGTAGGATTTTGTTTTTTAACGTTTTGGAAACAGATTATTAGTGTAAACCTGTTTTTTTGTTTTGTTTTTTGTTTTGTTTATGGTTCTAGGGTCTGAAATCAAAGATTCCTATCACTTTGCTTCATCTCATCCCCTTTTATTTTTTTTTTTATTTTTAGTCAGAATCTCCTTAATTGTCTGAACTTTCAAGTCTTCCTACCTAATATTCATGAATAGCTAGGGTTACAGGCATGGGTCACTGCATATAACTCTTCAAAAAGTGAAATATGTAGACAGAAAGCATGATCATCCTAACATACCTACAAGAAAAGAAATATAAAATAATTCAGATTACTATTTAGCAATAGAATTATAAAGAAAACATTAATTAATTTTATTATAGATATAATTACATGTTGTTAATTTTATGTGATTTTGGTTTCACATTATGATATTTTTTAGTTTTTTTTTTTTTTTTTGATGGGGGAAGTACTGGAGATTGAACTCAGAGGCAGTCAGCCACTGAGACACATCCCCAGCCCTATTTTGTATCACTGAAATTTGCTTATTCCTCACTTTTGCTAAAGCTGGGTTTGAACTCTCAATCCTCCTGATTCAGCCTCTCAATCCACTAGGATTAGAAGTATGTGCCACCATGCCAGCAATGTTTGACTTTATAAAAGACACATGGATAGGGCCCAAAATGGATTTCTTCATAAACCAAAATTTTATGCCCCACTTCATTTATATCATGATAAGTATTTTATGACTCTGAAACTAATAAAAGAACTTTTTACACACGGAGATGTAATCTTTTACACATGGTAAGATTATGACTTCTATTTCTGATCTTACAGTTTTCAGTTAAGTTTTGTACAACATAAAAAAGCAATTATTTCAATATTATGATTGTGCTATTAGTATAGATATACTTCTCTAAATGGAGACATTAAACTTCAATTAAGTTTATACCACTAGAATATTGAATTGATAAAGATTCAACTTTTAATTTACCGAATTTTTGGTTTTATTTAAAAGAATTTGTTGTTCTCGAAGAAATTTGAAATTATTTATTTTTTAATGAAATTCTTAGTAAAAGCAAGAGTGATAAACTCATACACTGATATACACACAGTCATAAATGACTATTAAATTACATTAAATATAGAGCTGGATCAATTATCATTGATGATTAACCTTACCTGACATTTATTTTTCTTTGAGATAATGGCTAATGATGCTAAAGGATTTCCTAGAACAACAAAAAATTTTAAAACATACAAAATAGGAAATCAATTTAAATATTT